CACATAGCTACAAACATTTTAAAAATAAATCAATAATATTAAAATTTAAAAAATATACTTCTTAGCTAACCCGTCTTCTGAAAACAGTACAATAGTACAGTCAATCACGATCGAACAATAATTGTTGCCTTTCCGAATGACATTCGTCCAGTGATATTTAAAGTTGAGAAAGAAATACAAATTGTAGTCCTTCATATCATATAATAATTTATTTATAAATAGAGATCACAAAACACAATTGCACATATACATATTTACACGCTCCTATCCATTCTTGGATCAGACTTGCCTAGCCACGCCCAGCATGCCGCCCGCTGTGGCGCCGAGCAGCTGCCGCACCGTCTGCAGCTCATCGCGCAATGCGAGCACCTGGGCGCGCAGTATGGAGTTCTCCTGCTCGAGGAGCGCAGCCCGAAACGCAATCCGATCCTCGCGGATCTTGCGTGCRTCYCTYGACTTCTTGGCCGCCTCATTGTTGCGCTTGCGTCGCTCATAGTATTTGGCGTCCTTCTGGGCATCTGGTATGGGTCGCTTTTCGCCGCGGGCCCGTCGATGCAGGAATCCGGGAAACATGCCCACACGATTCAGCTCCATGAGCGGAAAATCGAAAGACTGCATCGCATGATTTGGAGGCGCAATATATTCGAAGGCGGGTAACGTGGCAGCGCCCAAGCTGCCATTGCTCTTGGACGCCAACAGATTGGGCAGTGCGAGTCCAGGCAGCGGCATGCGCAGATTATGCGTCGAAGGTATCGTAAAGTTGGAGYTGCAGCTCGGCTCCAGTTCGATGTCCAGTTCACTGTGCAGGGAGATGGTTTCGGTGACGTCTACGATGGGCGATTTAGAGGGCGAGTACATTGTGAGCAGCTCCCAGAATTTCCGGAGACCAACGATTGGGACTTGGGACTTGGGACTACCGTGCACGCCGACGGCCGCGTTGTCTTTGAGCCTGCGGCGCGTATTCCTGATTCGAACGACCGGCTTCAGCTGCACCCGAAGGTCTGACTGCCAGGTAATTATAGGTTGTTGTCACACACAAAAACGGCAGCTCCAAAAGGGCAACCCTCAACCCCCAACCACAGCCACGAGCCAAAGCCTCAACCCTAAACCCTAAACCAGTTGGGACCAAATCTAAGTCATAGCGCCACAGGCCGCCTTCCGCTTGATTCAGCCAATCACGCAATGTTGACGGTAATTATTCGTCAAATACATGACACTTTTCCATGTTG